TTTAATTTTTTTTTATAGAATCAGGCTGATAAACGAGTAAAAATCCACCTGATAGTATGTGGTGCCCTGGTTAATAGACATCTACCTTCAAACTGGCAAACTTTCTTACAACAAAAAGGCCCATGACCAGGAGTGGACTTTTAGGTTATCAGGTCCTAAAAGAGAGAATTTTTATGAAGTGAAAATAACGGAAAAATAAATAATTTCATAGCACCATAAGCAAATATGCACGCTTTGTGCACGTATATTGGAGTACTTTTTTAAACATACCAAGCTGATCACCGAAATAATTACTATGGTGGTCCGCGGGGACATAGCTCTGTTCAAATGGTCTTGAAAATAACGCATTGCTACATCCATTGTATTGTTTCTTTTGTAATGCACTTCTACAATAATTTATCATAACTATTGACATGACTATATGACTGAGTCAATGTCAGAAAAACAATTGTTTCCTAAAGTTTTTGGTATAGACCTCTAAAGAAGAAACGTATATTTACTATGGTGGTATGGTACCAATACAAACATCTCCTACTCTACAACCTATGTTTCCCGCAAACGAAAATAAAAATAAACAATACAAACAACCTAGCTAAATGGATAATCAAAGTACTAAGGATTAGTTGCAAACGGAAAAGATTACTTAGGTATAAATATTATATGAAGAAAGATAACTTTAGAAAACGTATCTATACAAATTATTCAAAAATCTTGAAAAGGTTTTTTTAATTAGAAAAAAAAAACAACAGAAATATATATTTCATTAACACTAGCGTAAAGAAATACTACGCCTCGTGAACAATTGTAAATAATGAAACGGCTAATAATTCAAAAAATACAATTTTAACTGACCCAACCGATATAGCAAATAACCTTTTTTATTAATATGAAAATAAAATAACTAATAATAATAATTAAACTTAAAACTAATTCTACAGAGCTCAAGTCGATGTTTCTAAGAGAAATATCAGAAAAGTAAGTCATAAATGCAGTCATATATCTAATAAACCTAATACAACTGGTTACGACGGAATATGTACCAATATTATTAAAATTTAGATCGATAGTTTTATAAAAATACACAACTTATAAATCTATCTCTGTTAAACAAGTACTTTCCCGGAAAAGCTTAAAGTATAATTTAAGAAAGGTAAAAAAGATGATGTCGATAATTAGAGACCATTGCATTAATATCAAGTTTTTCCAAAGTATTCAAAAAGTGCACGTTCTCAAGCCTTACTGAATATTATAATAAGATTAGTATCATCAATTAGTATGCTTAGTTTAGACAACGGGAGACCCCTTTTACTGAAAACGAGGCATTCTATTTTAGTTCTCAGGGATGACAACGCATCTGCATTTTTATTCTTAATCGAGTAGGTATAAATGTAGATGTCTATAGGCTACAGCATCCACTTACAACCTGGAGGACTGTGTGCTCGTTTGTCACCCTTATTATATAAAAACTGGCTGGTTACCAATATTATTATTATGACAACCATCTCAGATGCGCCGTTTACATTAAATGTCCAAGAAAGCGATCGTGGCAAATTAAAATAAGTGTTTTGTCATTGGTCGACACCGAAAGCGATGTGTTGTCACCGATATGGGTACCTCATCGATGATGATACATTTTGTAAACTTTTTCATTTTACGATACGGTAGGTTTAGTGGGTTTACTTTACGTGGCGATAAACAGAAAGTAGTACTTTCATGGCTAAACTAGATTGCCATATTTATTAAAAATGTTAGCCAGCAATTAGGTAAATTATATATAAGTAATAAATAAATTATGTAAATTTATATTTATACATATTGTGTCTAAAAAAGAAAGAAATTGAGAAACATTTTCAATTTCAATCAATTACAGCCTATCAAAGTTCACTGCTGAATATAGGACTCCCCCATAGATTGCCTCATAGTTGGGGGTTTTGGCATATTTGAGACGTTTGGCGAGCGGGTTGTCAACCGCAGTTTTTATTATTATTTCGGGTTGTTATTAGGAAGATGCTGCCCATCACCTGTTTCAGTTTCCGTCTGTCGTCTCTTACGACACCCACGGGATTATATGGGGTAGTGGGTATTCTTACACCGCCACTACACGGAGGGTTTAATTACATCTAATAAGATATATGAGGGTAATATGGCCACCTTAAGCTTTGCCGCTCTATAAAACCAAAACTAGGAGAAGGACACAGATAAAAAACACAAAGTAGTATACTATAACTAATATATTAAGAAACAAATAGTAAAAGTGTTCCTAATTATTTCCAAAGCTTGGAAATAATTAGGAACACTTCGAAAAATTAACTTAATAAAAGTTAACTTCACTACACAATACTAAAATCGACTAAAATATTTACTAGAATGTCAACTGTCAAAATGGCTTGGATAAAGTAGCGTCGAAAATTACCATATTAACCGGATGACCATATTACCCTCACGTACTATAGTTAAAGTGAGACGTGTTGAGCTTATTATACATTAATTTACCGATTAATTATAAAGCTCAGAACAATAACTAAAGCAGAGTTATAAACAAACAGCATTACGTATAGATTAATTTACTTAGGCATACAAACAGAACACAGGTACTTTGTTTTAATGAAATTAATGTTACTCACATCACCACACATGTATGAGATGTATGAATGTGTTGGAAGTGTGATTTGATCGGGACATGTCTGCAGGGAGCGGGCGTAGCACCTATCGTCATATTATATTGGTGCGTAACGGTAAAAAAGCATTAAGGTACGCTCCATACATTTCAGTGCCTCGATATATGGATGAGATCATCGTGTCGACCAATTAAAAGTGCTAAAGCATGCACTGCGATGCACGTCTGAAACCGCAAAAAAATGTAACCTATGGCTTTCCATACAAGCTCACGCATTAGCTACTATTTTCAGTGAATGATTACAAAAACGTAACTTGTTACATTTCGATCGCGGTTTGGAAACGTGCGATTTTTATGTGTCCCATAGTAATGGTATGGCGGCGCACGCACTGCGGTTAACCGCATTCGGTTTCAACTTCGCAACCGCATTCGGTTTTTTGCGGTACTAATTAGTAGCAAATGTATCCTTTCAGATGTGTTGTATCTGTTAGTGGATGTACCCAGTACTTATGGCAGCGCCGTTGTTTACGTTTTCTATTTTTTAATTTATAAGCCAAAGCCACAACACACCCTACTTGCTCGAAATCCATGGTGGTAGTACTGAAATAAAATTGAGCAAAACTCCAGCTGCAGTGCGTGGTTGTATGCGGTTTTGCGTTTTCAGCTATTCCTAAACCACTTGCGTTTAATCTCAGTGCGTGCTGAGACTAACGGGCGAAATTTTATAAACCAACTACTAACCTGCTCTGACTTGCCTGGTTGTGATCTGGAATGTAACCTTATTTAGATCTGAGATTACCAAAAACCATTTATTTTATCAATTTTTCGTTTGTTCAGTTAAAAAAAGCTTCAAGTTTTTTTAGTATAAAATATAGCTTAGAACACTCTTGGTATTGCTCCCTATTAGGTATTAGTTCGTTTCGTTACAATCGATTCAGCCATTTTGAAGACTAGTCCGGACAGATATACAGACACTTTTTATGTCTTAATTTGATAAAAATAACCCTCTCAGCTACATATAAGGCAGTTATTTCGATATTATATACAGACAATAAATTCTATTTGCATGTGTAGACATTTTTTGGCCAAAAAAGAATTTAGTACTGGTTGGAAATAGTTAAAATGATTTTTATTGTTCCATTTCCGTGATATTAACTTCTGTCATGGTTCTGTCATTTAGTAAGTACTTAATTAGAAGTAGGGATTGTATTCGGTTTTAATAGTTAAGCGTTAAAAATAAAATGAAACTTCAACCTATTGTTACTTATGTAATTATGTTACTTATGGAAGGCTATGGTGCAGATGAACTTTATCCAGGTAGGGAATCCTAATTTTCAACTTCATTCTGTGTCATTTCATCATTTATAGACTTTCACAGTTCTACTGTTGTTGAAAAGCTTCTTCCAAGTCATGCCACAAAGCACAGTCCTGAGCCATCTACACGTCTGACCAGGTCGTCACTCCTGGTGAGGTGCTGCACTATATTCCGCCTATCGGTAGGGGCTGCCATTCTAGAATTTTCCCGAATGGTTGTCACTTAGCTTCAGTTTATTGACCTGTTAGGCTATATCAGTAACTTTGGTTCTGTTGCGGATATCATTGTAACGGATTCTATCACTCAATATACCCCTTATAAATCTACATTTTTATCCTTGATTAAGAATCAAAACGCAGATGCGTCATCACCCCTGAGGGCTAAGATGGAATGCCTCGTTTCCAGTAAAAAAAGGTCTCCGGTTTACTTTGGTTCTGTTGCGGATATCATTGTAACGGATTCTATCACTCAATATACCCCTTATAAATCTACAATTTTATCCTTGATTAAGAATCAAAACGCAGATGCGTCATCACCCCTGAGGGCTAAGATGGAATGCCTCGTTTCCAGTAAAAAAAGGTCTCCGGTTCTTTACACTCACCATACAAAACAGAACAGCTTCTATCTGCTATTTTACGCTGGTATTCTGTGAGAACGTGATTCTACCCTAGTTGAGCTGACCCATTCGTGCTACAAATAATATAGCAGCAGCGTGGCTCTACCAAGTAAGCATTAAAATATCCTCCAAATCTTTAGAACCGTGTCCGAGAACTCAATTATCTGTAGGTATAAATATCTAAAACTAAGAATATTCATGTGTACGGTTAGTTCCAAATAAATAATCCAATTTAGAATACGGTAATAAAAGCTGCAGCGTGGCTCTACCACGTTGAAGTATTAGGGCTTCTGCCACAAGAAAAATGCATTTATTTTTCAAATCTGAATAACTTTATTTCTTGTTACGGTATTTTAAACAAATTTAATATTAACCTGCTACCAGGTGAAGGCGATCTAAGTGAGGAAAATCTTGAACAATTAGTTCAGAATGACGTTGTGAAATACATCGAGATGTTCGAAGAAACATCTTTACAGGCAGCGAAGTCAGAGCGTGAAGGAATACTGCCTAGAGAAAATACCGTGGAACTTTACGATGAGATGACTTCAATTTTGCAGGACATTATAGATTTAAATATGAATTCAAACAATGTTTATAAATTTCTCCGCAATAAAGGATTAGACAGAGTTGTAGCCCCATGCCTTCACATATCATATACTCCACTAAGACGACTTCTTTTGATCCTTACCAAGCAGTTATTCGATATTGCTCCTACTACAGCTAAAGTTGCAATTCCTATTAGCGTCGTTGACAGTCTTCTTGAAATACTTGAAAAAGATGATAACGTAGCCATCAAAGCGTATGTAATTGATATTCTTTATTTATGGTTGCCTGGTAATGTAAAAGTGCAAGTGCGTGTGATGAAGTTGAAAGGGTTGGATATGTTCTACAATCAAATTAAGAATTTGGATTTCACAGCTATTCACACTTTACTTAATCTGTTTAATAAAATTTTGGAAGAACATATAGAAGTCAAGAGCGGATATGCGCAGAAAACAAAAGAGAACACCGAGGATTTGGTTTTGTATCAAAGGATTGGTTTGTTGGAGCGTATGTCAACCGCACACGTATGCAACGGATTGCTCAATATATTTGAGACTTCGTTACCATTACTTTCGAAGACCGATCAAATCATGCCTCCGATTTTCGAATTGGTGAAAATGATAAAACCATTTTGCTTAAAGTTTTTTAAAGGCAAATCCAAACCACTTGAAATATTTGAAAAACTGTTCAAACTTTTAGAAGACAAGAGAAGTGTAAAGTTTGAGGAATTACATAAAATAAATATGACTGATATTCATGAAGTATTAGACCAGTATGTTCAAGAGCTAAAAAGTGCAATTTCTAAAGATGAGCTGTGAAAAAGCATTACGTATTATATGAAAACAAAAGATACATGAGAGTTTACTCTCCTCTTCCATTTAAAATACAATAAAGGTTTTCCATCCAAAACGATGTTGTAATCACTTGTTTATTTACTATATATTCATTATTATTGTCAGTCGTAGTAATTGAAGTATAGGTCGATCACCTTAATATGTTGTTTTAGAATAAGGGAGACCAACGACCACACAGCCACCTGATGGTAAGTGTATGCCGCGGCCCATAGATACTACGAGTACATTTATCTTCGATTAAGATTCAAAATGCAGCTGTGTTGTCACCTTGCTAAAGACTAAGATGAAATGTTTCTTTTCCAGTGAGACGGGTCAGGTTATCCACCCTAAAAATATACCCTAGGGTGGATACTCAGAAACGCGTATACATCTATCCAGCTCCGATTATCCACCCCAGACTGGGGTGGAGAATCGGTAATAGATTACACGTCTTTTCGAGTATCCATCCTGGAGTGGATTTTTTACGGTGGATAAACGGAATAACCCGAAGGGTCTCCGGTTCTCTACACTCACCATCTATCCACCCGGACGGGGTGAATAATCGGAATTCGCATATATTATTTTCTTTTGATTTTCTCCTTCGGCTGTGTAGAGTTATTTATAGAAACATGATAAAAACTGACCTAAGATACTTAGTAGACATTACCTATAAAAATTATATACTTGGTGTTTGAAAGGTCAACGCTGAAATAAAAGGAGTGCCTTACAAGGTTACAAGATTCATTGGAATCTTGGCACAAAATAATTCAAAATGAAGTCAAAGACAAACATTCAATCGTAACATTTTTGGAATGCTTGCAAAGAAACGCCCAATTCTTCTCTTTCACATCTGTTATAGCCATTGACTTATATATTACTAGCGTAGTTATAGCAAAGAAAACTACAAAAAGATTGCAAATTTACATTGAAGAATTCATAGAATACTAATATAATGTATTATAGTATTCTATTAGACGAATTTATCCAGAATATCAAATTTGGTCTACTCAATAATGAAATTAGTGTTGGGAATTGCCTTGACATATTGCAAAATTTGTAAATTATAATATTATTTAAAACGGGGAAGCGAAATTTGATTTAATGCAATACGTAATTCACGGACTTCAATAGGCTGTTACGGTAACGGTAACGGCCATACGTAATATGTTTTTTGATAAGGTTTGTGGTTATTAAAAATAATATATATTTAAAGTGTATATGTTGAACTGTACTTGAGATAAAAAGTCGGAAGAACAAATAAAAATCAATTCCGATTATCCACCCCATCAGGGGTATATATAGATGTACACGCGTTTCCGAGTATCATTTCTGGAGTGGATTTTTTACGGTAGATGAACGGAATAACCCGAAGGGTCTCCGGTTCTCTACACTCACCATACAAGACTCATCGGCATTAAGCTACTATTTGACGTCTGTGAGAGCGTGTACCTTTCCCGGCCGAGCCGACCCATTCGGACCACAATCATAAAGCTCCAGCATGGCTCTACCACGTAAGAGTTTGTTTGAACAACAACTCAGTTTGAACTCGTATTAAGTATATTATATTGCACTATTTACCTAGTTTTCATTGTTCTAATGCTTTACACCTTTGGTTGCCTGGAAGAGATCGCTATGTAGCGTTAAAGCCGCCAAATTGTACTTACATATTATAATCTGCTTTTGTTTTGTTATCTGTATATTTGTTTGTGGTGTACAATAAAAATATATTCATTCATTCATTCACTTTGAGCACCAGTACAAAGGCAATATTAAAATTATTTGTTGATATTCTACGTCCTAGTTTACCGCGTGCTCAGCGATGAAGGAAAACAGCGAAGAAACTTGCATTCTGAAAAATGAAATAAAATATTTCGAAGGCAGGTTCAGTCTGTCAACAAGCATTTGGGCAGCTCGGTGGGCACTTCCCTGACCTAAAACTCGCACAGAAATGAGAAAAAACCCAGTGTCCGGGAGTGGGAAGTGCATAAATGTAACTTATAAATATTGTATGGAAACTTGTATGTCTTTTAAATTAAACAAAACTTATTATCTGTGAATATCATAGGGCACTAGAGAAGAATAAATTTTTATAAAGAAAACAACTAGATATCTACATGTATCTTAGATTAAGAATCAAAATTCAGATGCGTTGTTACCGTTGAGGACAAAAATGTAATGCCTCGTATCGAATTAAAAAGGGTCCCCGGTTCTCTACACTCACGACGATACGAAACACAGCAGCATTAAGCTGCTATTTTTCGCTGGCATTCTGTGAGAGCGTGTTCCTAACCCACTCAACCCGACCCATTCGTACTGCAACCATAATTTGATTTCAGTGATACACGTACAGAAGAATTATACATTTTCTAATATATAAAAACTGATGTTTGTTCGTGTTTTATGCGCTGCCATACCGTTCATCAGATTGCGTTAAAACTTTGTCAACTTATTGCTCGATGCTCGCACTTGCGCGAAGGTTATAGGCATAGTACTATTAACTTACGCTAGGTGGCGCGCCTATCGTATCGACAAATTTATTTGAAAGTTGTTGCTAATTTAAAAAAAACTTAGGTGTCAAGGACACCCGGATGGAACGAAGTTCAGTTTATCATATATCATATTTATTATATCAGTTCAAGTTATATTTTAGAGTTCATGGAGTTAAGGTGGTCTGAAGCTTCGGGTCCCGCGCCTACGTCACAGTGAACGAGTGAAGCCGGCCACAGTCGAGCGCGCGCCTGCTCTACTACCATATTATGTCAAAGGAGTCACGGACAAGATTGGCTACACCTTGAAGCGAGCGTCCGTTAGGATATATTACAAGCCGCTGAAGAAAATTAGTCAATTTTTACCATCCATCAAATGTAATATTCCTCTACAAGATGCAGGTGTGTACAAGCTAGATTGTGAATGTGGTCTCTCTTACATAGGTCAAACAAAGAGATCTATAAAAACCCGCGTAAGGAACATATAGCTGATTTGAAGCACCGACGCTCCGGGAAGTCTGCAGTCTGCGAACATGTTCAAGATCGTCCCCACCATTACATTAGATTTGATAAACCACAAATTCTCGCAAAAGAACACCGATTCCTACCAAGGATGATACGCGAGGCTATTGAAATTAAAAAACATCCAAATTTCAATAGAGAAGATGGTTGGGTGCTACCATCTGCTTGGGATCCTATAATTGACAAAATTAAACCCAAACCCAAGCATACCACTGCAAGACTTCATGATACTATAAGCTCGTTTTGCGTAAATCGGACCAAAAATTAATATTAAAAAAACTGAAGGTAGCCGGACTAACTATGACATTGGGACGTCAAACATCTCAGTCCCCCCCGTGACCATGGGTGCTGTAAAGCACCCGAAACGTCGGGATAATAATAAAAATAAATTAAAGTAATTAAACGCGATAAAATCCGTAAATAATAGTTTTATTCAATGTGTAGTGTTCGCGTAAATTTAAGAAATCATTATCTTAATCAGTAGGCTTAGACATACACACACACACACACATATATATATATATACTCTCGACTTCGTAAACACAACAGTGTATAGGTTAGAACACGCACGGCTTGCTAAATACATACGCCAATGATATTGTAATAGTAAAATATAATATGCTTTTAAATTAAAGTTATGACGCGTATACTTGGTTAGCACAATAGTAAAGAGAGGTTATAATGCGTACTTGCTAAAAATACTTAAGCATTTACTATTGTCTGTATAAAATCTCTATAACTAACTCTATCAGCAACATCCGGAACTTGTGCAGAAACACTGCACAATGCACAACTATAGCAAAAAGTGTTGTTACAACTTTTGGTCTTAATTTTATCCGTCTAGCCCCCTTTCGCAACGCGCGATAAGGAACTTCGTTCCAAAATATAACTCTTTCAAATTTAAAACCACACTTCCACAATAATTTCTACGGCATTAACGCGACGGTTAGCACCTAGTTATATATACGTATATTGTTATCTTCTCTATAATATATAAAAATCTGCCTTGTTGAACTAGTGGTTGTAGTAATGCGACTGCTGATCATGAGGTCCTGAATTCGAATTCCAGGTCAGGCCAAAAAATCAATTATTGAGTTTTCCGTCAAGAAATTCTCAGTAGCTGCCCGGAGTCAGGAAGTTGGCGCAGTCTCATCCCCGTGCCTCGGAAAGCACGTAAAGCCGTTTGTCTTGTGCCTGGTCTTTCTTCGGTCATGTCGGTTTACCGTCCCATCGGATGATGAGGGTGAGGGAATAGAGAGTGCACCTGTACTTGCGCATACACTTGGGCCCTATAATCCTGTCCTACGCTGATGGCTAGTCTCCATTGAGGCAGACCACCGTGACCGAAATTCGGTCGAGAGGACATTATATAAAAATCAAATGCCGCCTGGTAATCTCACTTAAACTAAAAAACGGCTTGACCGATTTTGATATGTTTTTTGTGTGTCTGGATTGTTTAAAATTAAATTCACATTTGGACGCGTGTGTCTGGATTGTTTAAAATTAAATTCACATTTGGACCCGTCTGTCTGGATTGTTTAAAATTAAATTCAGATTTGGACCCGTGTCTGGATTGTTTAAAATTAAATTAACATTTGGACCCGTGTGTCTGGATTGTTTAAAATTAAATTCACATTTGGACCCCGCTGTTGTCGAGATCCATAAATCACCCGTGCGAAGCCTTATGTATAAATATAAACCTAATATATAAACCTAATATTTTATTCTTTTTACCATTTATTAAAAGCTACATTTTTAGACAATTTCAACTGTACTAAAGAATATTAGAAATAGTACATTAAATACTTCATTTCCTATTTTCCATTTTAGATGAGATTTGTTTCTCTAAATATAAAATTTATATATTACATTAAAGTCGCACATTTGAGCACGTTTACATTTGACAATGATATTATACAGGTACATAAAGCACATACATAATAGCACAATAGAAATAAAATTCACTAATAATTACTC